CATTATTTGGTTCGGTTCACTTTCATTGTGTTGATACAATTCATAATTGTTTTCTTCAAAATACCTGAAGACTAAAATGTTACCGGAAAGACAGTTTACACCATAGCAGAAAATCAATATTGGCAAAATACATTACGGGAAATCATTCTCTCAGGAACCAAACGTCTTTATAAATGAGTCATTAACTCAACCTGTTCGTTCAAACACTCTGATTCATTCAGGAATGAAACATATGACTGCCTCTTTGAATGAGTAATTGAATCATTTACTCAAACGATTCCTTCAAACACACTGATTCATTCAGGAACGAAACATGTGACTGCCTCTTTGAGTGAGTCATTGAATCATTTACTCAAACGATTCCTTCAAACACACTGATTCATTCAGGAACGAAACATGTGACTGCCTCTTTGAGTGAGTCATTGAATCATTTACTCAAACGAATCCTTCAAACACACTGATTCAGTCAGGAACGCGACTGGTGTCTGTCTGTTCCTGGAGACGCGCTGTTCGTTTGGAATTATTTTCCTTTGTGAAGCAAAATAGACCAAGTAACTGTCAATGTTGTGTCTAAAATGAAAGTTACTCAAAATTAAGTTCTTTTTCAGATGTTGCATAAAATCAGTATCGTGATGCTACGTGAATATCCCTAGCAATGTAAAATTGCTTCGCTCTGAGTTGGTTTATAATTAGCCTATCTGACTTTTGGAATTAACATGTAGCAACAGCAACATATAAGTCATAAAACACTTACTAAATATTTGTCTCTGTATGTGTAGGTGTGCAGGTGTTCGCGCTGTACAACCATGCCATAGTTCTGTCGGGATCGCCAAAGATGTTTTCTCTGAGGGTTCCACTGCAGGTACACAGGGAGGCGGGGCTTGTTAGCTCGGTTGACTCCCATTGGCTGGACCACATGACGCAGCACTTCAGAAGTGGTGCGCAACTCATTGACGGCTACTTTAACCTTGAAGATGATGCAGGTACTGGAGATGTTGTGACATTTTACAAATGACTGAGAGGTATCAGTAAGTTTTTGATTGTAAAAACATATATTATACTAATCCATTACGTTTATTCTTAAGTGAGTTTTAATAAAATAAGGATAAAATTATATATAAACAAACAAATATGATACAAATGCATACAATTATATAATAAAAATGTAATAAAAATAGAAAAATAGTTTTCAAATATTTTATTAACCTGCTGAGCAGATAACTCTCAAACAAATTATCAACCATTCTTATCAACATTTTCCAATCGTTTTCTTGCTCTATCTTCAGCATCTTCTTCCATCGTGGAGAGTGTTTTTATCTTCCAAAGTGCTTCAGGTGATGCTGGGCCAACCACAGTGTATGACGCCATTGTAGTTGAGCAATGGACTGTTATTGATGTAAGTCTGCAGTGGTACATCCCAAATTCAAATCATTGCATTATTATCTGTGGAAATTCTACACCTTTCTTCTAACAAACCGCCTTTAAATGAATGTAGACATATGTGCACATTTAAAGGTAACAGGACATTAGTGAAATGCTTCAACACGCTGTTTAAATGACTCTTCTGTTTTGCAGGGTGTTGCGGTGAAAACAGACTACATCCCTCTGCTCCAGTCTCTGGCTCCATACGGCTGGAGACTAATGTGTGTTCTGCCCACTCCCATCGTCAAAATGAAAAGGTTCCAAATCCATACTAAAAACCCTTAAAGGAATAGCTCGCCAAAAATAAAAATGTTGAAAATGTGCTCTCCAGCCAAGATGTTGATGAGCTTGTTTCTTCATCGGAACAGATTTGGAGAAATTTAGCATTACATCACTTGCTCACCAGTGGATTCTCTGTGGTGAATGGGTGCCGTCAGAATGAGAGTCCAAGTATCTGATTAAAGCATCACAATAATCCACAAATAATCCAAATGACTCCGGTCCATCAATTTCACTGGAGACAGCAATATTAGATACTCACTTATTTTAGACAGAAGCATGGGATTCAAGTTAAAAATGTCTCGATGGATTTGTTTCTTACAAACACACAGCTTTTCACTTCATAAGATGTTAACTGATGGATTTGAGTCATGGATTATGTGGTTTTTATCAGCTGTTTGGATCCCTTGGTGAGCAAGTGAAGTAAGGCTAAATTCCTCCAAATGTGAATAAAGAAACAAACTCATCTACATCGCAAGTACATTTTCAGAAAATGTTCATTTTTGGGTGAAATATGCCTTTAAACAAGAGCATTACATTCACTGTTGCACTTCAGGGGCTAATAATAGGATAAATATTACCTGCAAAAAACTCTTCTCAGTCATATCAAAAGAAAAAAGAATCATTCTTACACATTTTATACCTCTGATTTATTTTTGTCTTAGTGATGGAAGTTTGGCCACAAAACAGATCCTCTTCCTCCAGAGACCCACGCTGCCTTGCAAGAGGAGAGACTTGACGGTGTGTATACATGGCACAAAGTTTATTTCTACTAAAATTAGATTAGAGCTGTCTTACAGAACTGTGTGAAATTGTAATAGCGTTGTCAGTTCACTTTAAAATCCTCAAAAGCAGCTCAGTGTCTGACAGTTTGCGTGCATGTTTTCCAGAAACTGCACCTCAGAGGTCAAAACAAAAGGAACTTAAATAATAAAAGGGCACCAGAGAGGGAGATATCCCCACTGGCAACAATTGAGAGAGAAATGGAACGAATGGAGAGAGAAAACACAAGTCTGATGAGACAACGTGAGATTATCCAGAAGGAAAAGGGGCAGAATTTGCCAGAAAGCCCAGAGAGGAGAGATCAAGCGGAAAGGACGGTGGAATTCCACACGCAGAGGATTGACATCCCAAACATCAGCCCAGCAAAAAAGGATGCAATTACAAATGGCAATCAGGAATTAAAGCACACAATTACGTGTGGTAAACACAAGGACGTGCGAGCAGTCGTAACAGAAAGGGCTTTATTCTCAGGAGTGTGCTGACAGTATTCATTTATGGATATTTAAACATTACAATATGTTCATGTTTATTCAGGCAGAACACACTCTCGTCAGGCCCGTGTCTGGGCATATACATCTGCTGACAGAGTAATTGTCCTGTAAGATTGCAAAGAGGTATTCGAATCTTGCCGCTCTTAATTATTTGGGTTTTTAAGGTGCATTGCTGTAACAAATGGCAAGAGATTCTAACAAATATGTGAAAACATCTGTTCGGAGCTTTTAAATATGCTAAACGCCAACCAATGTGTTGAGACTTGTACCTGTGTGAATCTGTGATGCTAACTCATTTTATTACATACAGTATTAGCATATGCAATATATCGTGCACTAGCTCAAATGCAAAAAAATCCACAAGATGCTCAATTTATTTCATCAGTAGGTATTACATCAGTTATTTCATTTATTTATATCAGTGAGGATGGCAGTAACTAATGTCTAAATTTGTAAAGTAACAGTTATAGTGAACATCTGTGAGAGTTAATGGTGTAAATAAAAGCTCTCAATAATGGGCTTCATTTACAGCAACAGCTTGCGGTTTTCAGTGTCGTTTTTCACTATTACACTATTAGAGGTAAAGATCTTGTTCATCAATCCAGTTTTGAAGAACCATCCTTCCCATGACGTGGGAGATAGTTATATTTTTTGAGCTTTTGATTGAAAAAGTTCACAATGACAGTTGTAATACCGCCTTACAGTCAAAAAAGCCAATGACTTGGCTGGACCAGGCTAAAAATAGATTTTGCATGATTGATGTTAATGCACAAGATATGACACATTGTATTTCCATATTTGTACAATATGATAGAAAGAGTTTCAGCAAAGAGTCTTTCTTTGTTAAGTATAATTTAGGTAGATTGGGGCTATGCTTGCAAAGCTGGAAATAGCTGCCCATGGGATGCTACAAATATGGCCGCCATATTGCCTTAAAGGGATACTCCACCTAAAAATGAAAATTCTCAGTTTCTCACCCTCACGCCATGCTTTATGTATAAAACTTTCCTTCATCTGTGGAACAAAAACAGATAGATTTTTTTAAAAAAATCTTAGTGAGTCCATAATATACAAGTGGATTGAACCATCAGTTGACCAGAAACTGTTTTATAGTTTAAAAAGTTAAAATATTAGTATTTTTCTCACACACACACCTATCGTTTTGTTTCAGAAGACATTGATTCATCCACTGGGGTCATATGAGTACCATCATGATCACTTGGTGTGGTTTTTGTAGCATCAACTTTTGAGGGTTCAAACCACTTGCATCATATGGACTCACAGAGATGGATTATTTTTCAAAAAAATCTCAGTTTGTTATAAGAGTTCTCATTTTTGAGTGGAACATCCCTTTAAAGGGGACAATGTTTAGCACCTTTCCTCAAATTAGGACTATATTGATGAGCAAAGATGGGTGTAGAAATTAAAGGGATAGTTCACCCAAAGAATGAAAATTCTGTCATTAAGTACTCATGTCGTTCCAAACCGGCAAGACCTTCGTTCATCTTCAGAACACAAATTAATATATTTTAAAATTAAATATGAGAGTTTTCTGATTTTAACAATGTCCTTACTTCGTTTCGGGCCTTGAATGTGGTAGCTCCCTTACCGTCTATGGGAGGGTCAGAAAGCTCTTGGATTTCATCCAAATAATCTTAATTTGTGTTTGGAAGATGAACAAAGGTCTTACGGGTTTGGAACGACATGAGGCTGAGTAATTAATGACAGAATTTTTATTTTGGGGTGAACCATCTCTTTTGATTTCTATGCCCCTAAATGTTTTTAATGAATAAATGTGTTCTAAAATGCAAACAACATACATAATTATACACAGATCTCTAAAAACCCAGTGCAATCTGAGTGTGCAATCTTTCATCATGCCCTTGAAGAAGGATGCCTATGCCATTAACCAGCAAATGAACTATAATGTAGAGCATTCCAGCACTGGTTACGGTCAGTTGGTTGAGTATCTTTAAAATGAGGTACAACAAAAATAGGGCATAGAGTCTGGATAATTGTCTGTTTAAATGTGGAGAACGCAGACACAGTGTTTGTTGTGCGTTTCAACTGATCTCAAAGGCATTACTGGTCCATTGCTATTACAGTCTGTTTCTATGATGATGCAGATGCATCCATCGCTGTGAATATCTGAGCTACCACCATTTCTCAAAAAGGATTTTGTCCTCCGACAGGCCGACTCTCTTCAGGTCTGAACTCACTTTCTCTATCATAGGAGGAGGGCCACAGAGATAACACAATGTGTGCTCAGGATCTACATAGCGCTGAAGTTCCTTTTCTGATATCCTTCCATCTGTAGAGACACAAGAATATCTCATGTGACAAATCAGGTCTGAAAATAATTCAATTCATTAAAAGGTTGTAGGTTATGGATGGTCAAATAAATAAATGGAGATGTGAACTCACTTATGGTGTAAGGCTGAAGTTCCTGCTCTATGTCAGAGCTCTGCTGGGTAACATGGAAATCGCATGAGAATTTATCTGGTCGCTCGTGACAAATGTCAATAATGGTGTTCTGAAGACAGAAGATATTTAGAAGTCAGTTGGCAGCTTCAATCTCACAAGTCAAGGGTACATAGACATACCTTGAAGAGCAGCTCTTTGGTGTTCTTGGCGCTGTAGCACAGGTGTGTGCGCCCTGGAGTGTACCTGTGACCATGAGTCTGTCTGAGCAGATCAGCTGCATGCAGCAGGATGGAGTACAGAGGGTTGATGCCAACACCACCAGCTATCAGCAACAAGTCCACTACAGGGTCAGAAGGTTGAGGGTCAAAGTAGAAGTTACCTCCCACCCTCACAGCTACCTGAGAGTCCACAGAGCACTGAAAGAGAGCAATTTAAAAAAATAGTGGCATACAACAGCTTATATGTAATGTAGATCCCTATAGTTCGGGTATACACAGAAACCTTCAAAATAAAGGTTTATAAATAAAACAAGTTTTCTTCTGCATAGTAGAATAATTGTATGAAAAACTCTCCATACTTCACATGCATAAGCAATGTCTCGAAGTCAAAATAGAACAAAGATTTGCAAACAGTTTACTTTTTTAATGATACATATTTATGAGTGAAACAGAATATTCAAAATATGAAAAATATACCGATTTGCTTAAACATTCCAATAAAAGCATGGAATGGAACATTAAAAATAAAAACATAGAATGAAAAACTGAACTTAACTACACATTACACTTAATAGTTTGGAGTCTCTAAGGTTTTTTTTGGGAAATGAATACTTTTAGTCAGCAAAGACGCACTAAAATTATGAAAAGTAATTAGGGCTGTGCAATATATCGAAATATCGCAGTATGCATATCGCTACGGCTTGCAATATATGGGGCCATGAACAAAACACAAAGAGAAAATAACTCACTGCTCTTACCTAAATAACTTTTATAGCTTAAATAAGAATCAGTGCATATTGAATTCATAGAATAAATACTTAGTGTTGTATTTTTCCTTTTCATTATTCAGTTCCAAAACTTATGTTAAAATTATTACACTAATGTTAAAATGAAATTTGTATGTAATGCTAGAGTAAAACACTACAGTTCACTTTCAGAAGTTGTTGTAGGGGTGCTTTCTTCTCACAAAAAGTGAAACATGTATGCTAGTTATATTAGAATCAGAATGAGCTTTATTCACCACTTAAGTGTGCGCAAACACAAGGGATTTGTTGTGGTTTTACAGGAGCTCTTGATACATGCATACATACATACATACAAATAACCATATATATATATATACAGTATATATATATTACACAAGATAGTTATGGAAGTTCACAGAATTGACTCCGCAACAGCTGAGTAAAACTGTTTCATCTGAGCATGTGGCACTTTAAGCATTATCGTATCGCATATCGACTATCGCATTATTTAATGAGTTATCACATCGCATTTTTCTTCAATATCGCACAGCCCTAGTAACCATTTATAATGATACAAAAGATTTCTATATCAAATAAATGCTGTTCTTCGGAACTTTCTATTCGTCAAGGAATCCTAAAAAAAAAGTCTCATGGTTTCCACACTGATATTAAGGAGTGCATCAGCGCAGCAACATTTATAATATTAAGAAATGTTTCTTGAGCACTAAATGAGCTTATTTCTGAAGCATCATGTGACACTGATGTCACAGTAATGGTTGCTGAAAATTCAGCTTTGCCGTTACAGGAATAAAATACATTTCAAATGGAAAACAGACACTTAAAATTATAATAACATTTCACAATATTACAGTTTTGACTTTATTTTGATCAAATAAATGCAACCTTGATAAGCATAAGAGACTTCTTTCAAAAACATTAAAAATCCTTTCCAGCCCCAAACCTTTGAATAGTAGTGTATATATATATATATATCGACGTTCTAAAAGTACTTTATGTAGTTGTGTTGTTAGATTTGAGTCATTAACATGTGGAGTCAATGCATAAGGTAAGCAGTTAAGTTCATATAATATATGCCAGCAGTGTTTCATATATTACATTATATAATATTTGAATCGCAACATTTTTCACAGGGTGGATTTCTTCATCCCAGGTGTGGATACAGTGGGCGGCTTCTCTATTTGCTCGAGTCCTGGTCTGCTGCAGAGAGAGGGAGTGATTGAACTGGCCGTCAAATACACATGCCATCCTCCAGCACACTGGATTCACACCAAGGTGAGTGAATGAATAGTAGTGTATATATATATATATATATATATATATATATATATATATATACTTTTTAATTCATTCACTCACCTTGGTGTGAATCCAGTGTGCTGGAGGATGGCATGTGTATTTGACGGCCAGTTCAATCACTCCCTCTCTCTGCAGCAGACCAGGACTCGAGCAAATAGAGAAGCCGCCCACTGTATCCACACCTGGGATGAAGAAATCCACCCTGTGAAAAATGTTGCGATTCAAATATTATATAATGTAATATATGAAACACTGCTGGCATATATTATATGAACTTAACTGCTTACCTTATGCATTGACTCCACATGTTAATGACTCAAATCTAACAACACAACTACATAAAGTACTTTTAGAACGTCGACAGAAGCAGATTCTTCCCACACAGTAACATGCCAGCACAACTAAACCCATGTGTCCAGTATTACGTATGTCAATAATACTTTATTAAAATAAAGTAAAGCAACACATACGCTTTGAGAGTCACCATATGTGTACACAGAGCATGAATAAGTGATAAGCACATATGTCGGGAAACATAAACACACACACACTCCCACTCGCTCTGCTCTCCCTGACTCATGTTCCTCATGTTCTTTAGCAGGAACACAACATCATATGGTTTGGAGGAGTTTCTGTGCATACATCTGCATAAATCATCGCCTGACTTTTTCACCTCACTCAGACTCTCTCAAAACTCACACACATTCACAACAAATGCAATAAGGCACAATGGGAACGAGAGCAGAAGTGAGAGAGAAAGTGTGAGGAGAGGTAGATGTAAGAATACATTTTTATTATTTTGCATGGTTTGCTGATAACAGATCTCACGCTGAAGTGAGAATTTTGTCTGAGAGGAAAGCGCCATCTCGTGTCCATTTTGCAAACTGCATGTCTTCCCAACTATTAGTCATTATCAGAGATGCAAACAGGTCAGGGGGGGAAAAAGGTGAGATCCGGGGGCATGCTCCACATGGAATTTTTTTTTAAAGATAGTTGTTTTACATGTTCAATTGTAGTATATATATATATATATATATATATATATATATATATACTTTTTAATTCATTCACTCACCTTGGTGTGAATCCAGTGTGCTGGAGGATGGCATGTGTATTTGACGGCCAGTTCAATCACTCCCTCTCTCTGCAGCAGACCAGGACTCGAGCAAATAGAGAAGCCGCCCACTGTATCCACACCTGGGATGAAGAAATCCACCCTGTGAAAAATGTTGCGATTCAAATATTATATAATGTAATATATGAAACACTGCTGGCATATATTATATGAACTTAACTGCTTACCTTATGCATTGACTCCACATGTTAATGACTCAAATCTAACAACACAACTACATAAAGTACTTTTAGAACGTCGACAGAAGCAGATTCTTCCCACACAGTAACATGCCAGCACAACTAAACCCATGTGTCCAGTATTACGTATGTCAATAATACTTTATTAAAATAAAGTAAAGCAACACATACGCTTTGAGAGTCACCATATGTGTACACAGAGCATGAATAAGTGATAAGCACATATGTCGGGAAACATAAACACACACACACTCCCACTCGCTCTGCTCTCCCTGACTCATGTTCCTCATGTTCTTTAGCAGGAACACAACATCATATGGTTTGGAGGAGTTTCTGTGCATACATCTGCATAAATCATCGCCTGACTTTTTCACCTCACTCAGACTCTCTCAAAACTCACACACATTCACAACAAATGCAATAAGGCACAATGGGAACGAGAGCAGAAGTGAGAGAGAAAGTGTGAGGAGAGGTAGATGTAAGAATACATTTTTATTATTTTGCATGGTTTGCTGATAACAGATCTCACGCTGAAGTGAGAATTTTGTCTGAGAGGAAAGCGCCATCTCGTGTCCATTTTGCAAACTGCATGTCTTCCCAACTATTAGTCATTATCAGAGATGCAAACAGGTCAGGGGGGGAAAAAGGTGAGATCCGGGGGCATGCTCCACATGGAATTTTTTTTTAAAGATAGTTGTTTTACATGTTCAATTGTAGTTACTTTAAGGTATTTTTTTTAATATTTTTATTACCTTATAAACTGTAATTTTTCACACACACAAAAATGCATCTTGTTGCAACATTTGACAAAAATCAAGATTGAATATATTTGGTCAAAATCCCATGATATAAAAGATGAAGTGCTATACAGGCTATTTAAGACAATGTTGGCTGATTAGACCTAAAATGCAAAATGTTTGCCCTCTCTCTCTTCCCTGTTCCCACATCGCAAACCTCAAATACATAAAATATTACCCTTTTTAGACAGTTTAGTAAAGAGTAAAGAAAATAGTATACAACACTTACTAGCAGTTGCCAAGTGGTTATCAGTCTTACTTTTCCAATACAAATAAGACCAGTCTACCTTTTCAAAACTGAATATAAAAAGATATGACCAGTCTGCAACCGGCACCAGTTCTTCATTTACCCTTGTAAGATCACAAGTACCCTTGTAAGACCCCCCCATAAAACACTTTCTCATTGGATCTAAGCAAATCTCATAAGTGACCTATTTTGATCTCAAAAAATTGAGTTGTCACCTAAAGGTGAGGAGTTTGCATCGATGCATTATTAAGTGAAAATGTAACATCTACGAACAGTATTCCCTAGGAACTTTTTATTGTCTTGTGAACCCCCAGAGCCCCATCATATTATACTGGATATCAGTATAATCCATTATAATCAGATATTAGTATTAGTATAGTATCATCAATATTAGATGCTTTCAATACATATTTCACAAAGTTCTTACCACTGCCCAGCACGGACGCTGAAGTCAGGATGTGATACCTCCAGTCTCAGTTTCTTTACTGTATCAGATTCATTCATAATGTCACTAACACGTGCAGAGAAAAGCTCCTGGATACACACAAAACAACATAATGTCTTGGTAGAGAATTTACAATAACATTTCAGCCTCTCAGCATTTTAAATGCAATGCATTATGCCATGTGAATGTACAAATGGGAGCCATTATACATTTTTACCACTGTACACACATTTACTGACTGAAGTGTAAAAAATCTACAGCATGACAAGAAAATCAGCACAGGATGTTAATGAAATAACACTAGAGTACACTGCTACTAATACATGAACAGATAGATAGATAGATAGATAGATAGATAGATAGATAGATAGATAGATAGATAGATAGATAAATAATTAGATAGACAGCATCATCTTGAATTCAGCCTCATGACAAAAATCAAATGACACACTGGCTGAACTTTCACCTACTTGGCTACACCATTTGTTAACCATTTATGAGCAGTCACAGAGGAATCTATGGTCAACAGGTCAAGGGTTTCATACAGAAATCTAAGACGACTCACCATTTGTCTATGAACGCTAGCAGTTCTCTCTAGATGGTCAGTCTGTCTCCTTGATGACATTTTTCTGAAACTAGTTTAGAGAAGTTTAAATTAAGCAAAAGTTTTGCTTAGTAGCCAGCTCACTAGGTTTTCAAACACACCCACTACATCCAGAGCCTCTAGAAAGAGCTCCAGATTCTGGATACTCACCGTGTGACTGTGTCTTTACATGAGCAGCAAACAGCTGGTCTGAACAGTCCTGATCCACCGGCGAAACTTCTGGCCACCGTTCTCACAAAACACGGGGCACTCATGATCGGATATGACGGTCTGACCCTTGTCAAACACCTGATAATAATATGAGACAGAAAGCAGATTAGTTATTGAAATTACATAATAATATCCAACAACACTGAAATCTGAAATGAGAGTTTCTGATGTGAAGTGACATTCACACGCGTGAGCAGTAAACAATTAAACCCTGTTATTAACTAAATAATCCGTTTTGTGTTCAGTATGACTTTAAAATTAATTATAAACAATACTAAACAAATGAAGCGGACAAAGAGTAAAGAGTTAATAAGCTCACGAGGCAGAATAAGTGTGTAAAAATAATTCACCTCAGTCACTCCGGTAACGTTTCTTCTTCGTCTGTTTTCGGTGGGTGAACAGATTATGTAGCGCCACCCAGCGGTCTTCCCTCAGTTTGGAACAAGTGAAAAACATTTTTAAAAATAATATAAAAAGATTAAAATTCCATTGATACAATTGTATTATTGTATCTATTTAGGATGCATACAGTGCTAACTATGAAATGATCAATATATAGGCTACCCAAGCAAGACAATGGTGGGAATGTTTATGACTAAAATATTAGGCTACTACTGTGTGTAAACAGCATAAAAGTAGCCTACTTTTGACTGAAATAAGGCAATTTGCTTGTAAACAGCATACAAACACATTTTGGACTGAAATAAGGCAATTTGCTAACAAGTCATTATCGTAATTCTTAATCGTGCTTTTGTTTAAAAAAATGCACGAGCCGAATTTATAAAGATTAGGCATAGACTACTCAGATGGTTATTTTGCTCAAAATGAGCGTTTCTGAACTTCACCTGAACCATGTGAAGAATGAGGAGCCCCTGGTGGCTAAATGAAACATCACGATGTGACTGTTCTTGAACAGAGGACAAAATTAGAAATAGCATGCATAGAAGTTAACACACAGGCTATTTTCTTTATTAAAGTGTTTTGTGTTTTTCGATTCTGGTGGACAGGAGTGCTGTGCTGTCACAGCAATGTCATGGAAAGTCACGCCAGATTACATTAAAAACTGTAAGGAACTTTCAAACGGAGCTCGTGAGAGACGCATCAAAGCATGTGATGGCAGTTTGCGTTATGGGTAAACACAGCAGCTGATAACAGAGCTGATAGAGAGATTTCATTCGTTTATGATTAGACTAATCAATATTGCAGTTAGCTATACCCTCTTAATTTCTTTTTCTAATGTTAAAATGTCTGTATTTTAGCGAACTCTTTTAAAATGAATCAATTTACAAATGTTCCCCAAATCGTTCCTCCGTTTGTCCTCCAGCTAGCTGTTTCTCAATGACTTGTCACCTGAAAGCGCGCGGATCTGTGCATATGACGGCTTAACATCTTATGACATCCGGATTTTTAAATAGTTTTTAACGTTTTGCAATGAGACGGCAAGTTTTTATGACAACTTTGCAGTTTTAATTTGAAGACAGCACAAACAATTGAGTGCAGCCTATATACACAACTGAGAGTGCTTTCACGCAAATGCCCATTTCTTTGAATATAGGCTATGCGGTTATAAATATGCAGCATGTTATACGAATTTCAACTAACATTGTGTGCGTCATAAATATAAAACAATAAAAAGTCTATTTATTGTTTATAAATAGCCTATAGTGTAATGTAGGCAATAGTAAACTTCAAAAGACCTTCTTTAAGATTCTGATTAATTATTAATAATTGATATTTGATGTTTATTCACCTGCATAGATCATTTTAGTTTTATGCTGCAGCCATAATATTTTTCTCTTTTTTACCGTGCACCTTGTGTTAATAAGGTATTCGAATGCAAATGCAAAACAGACAATATCTTGAATAGACCTCTTTTTTTTGTGGGGTAGTAATAATAAATAATAAATGTTTAGGAGCAGTGAAGTCGTTTTATCAGTTTTTTTAAAGCTTTTTTTTTCTCAAACACATTTCTCCACAAATCAAAGTAAGTGACGTTTGTAACTCAAAAACATATTTAAAAAAAACATACGAGCATGAAAATGTATTGAAACGTTACATTTTTAACAATAACGATGAAGTTGTACACTCAAGTGTATTGTCAGAAACTTTGAGGACAATGGTACGTGTTTCTCAAAAATACATGAAATGAACAATTCAAAGCTACATTTAATAATCAACAAAAAACTCACTTTTCTCAAAAAGGATTCTGAGACAGATCAAGGATACCTCATATGAGATATAAAAAAATAGGCTAGTGTAGGCTATAGCTACCACTTGTTTTAGACATTACATAAAAAGCCCACAATCGGAGATAAATAAGATGATTTTGAAATGGTCTGTTTCGAAATACAAGGGGGAAGTCACAACATGAGACTCCGAGCCCTCCTTCCCGCTCGCGCCCATAGATGCTAATTAAGAATCATATGAGTCTTGTTACAGAACGTCACATGCTTGCTGTATTAAATTAGAGCTCGTGCGGGTGACTGGGAGATGGGAGAGAGAGCAGAAGAGGGTTGAGGGGTATGAGATTTAGCAGCTGGAGTGGCATAGGGGGACAAACAAGAAAAAAAGCCCTTGGATAAATTATATCTACATTCTCATCCAACAAATCGTCACGATGCATTTGGAAATGTTGCTTGTGCTGGCCTGGGCATTGTTCGTTCCTGTAACGAACAGCAAAAAAAGTAAGTAGGAACCGAATGTTTATAATTATAATTGCAATATATTTAATCAGCAATTATTATTTTTTTAATAATAAAATAGATTTGGACGTTGTTGCACAAGCGACTGTTATATCAAGATAATAACGTGCCATTTATAAACTATTTTATAGAGTAAGCTAAGCTATAAAAATTGTTACAGACTTCCAAATTCATAAAAAGTCGAGATAGACGAGAGGCTAATAAAACCAATACACATAGGCTAACTTGAAATGTTTTAACACTGTTGGATTAAGCGCGCTGCAGTCTCATGAAACTAATTAGGCAATCCGCGTTAGTGAGAGTAGCCAAGAGTCTTGTGAAAATACGTTTGTTCATCACCAGATTGTAAGAATATGCCACAGTCCATAATTTTAGACTCTTTTTCAGTATCTTAGCTCGGGGGGGGGGGGAAGTATCAATAAGCATAATCCAAAATAAGATAAGATATTTAAGTGCGTAAATTAAGCACGTTTAATGAGTTCTTGTAGGGAACAACTGCGGGTAGTTGTCACATTTTTCGCTCCTGCAGTGAATATTTCTCAGAGTGGGTTGATTTGTTTTAGGGTTATGCCTGTTTCTTATCCCAGCAGAAAGTACAAGCCCAGCTTTACCTGTTATATTTTACGAAATTTAAAATGACTAATCCATGTGCATTTAGTTCATGTGCATTTCAGTTTCAGACAGCTTTCACAGGTTTTGTTGTTCCCTGTCATTCGTGCAGCTTATGGTGACATGTTCCCTCACAAACACAAACTCCCTATTTCATTCCCAATCCCTGGATGGGAACCGGACACGAACCCCTGGGACGAATCTCTGTACCCCCCCCTCAAACAGCAGCTGAATCGCAGACATGGTAAGAGTTGGTAAGAGATTCCTGCTATGCAGTAAAGTTTGATTTACGTAACTTACACAAAATTACTAAATGATTAATAGGAAATTATTTTTTTATAAAAGTGTGAACCATGCAAACTCGGGCTCTCAAAAGGTATTAATATAATGTATTAAATGTTTTAGCGTGATTATTTACACAACAGCGAGATAATTGGTCAAAAACAATTTGGATAGTTTTGTCAAACGTAATGGAACGTTTTAGAGCAACTCTAACCAATTAATACCACACATTAATTCATCAGATTGCAAATACTTAGGGCTTGTCCAAATACCCACACTTGAGATCTTTTTTTTTTTTTTCAAAAACTGATTGGCCAATGAACGCGTCGCACTCATATTTTTTTTAATGCTTTATTAATTCAATGCCATAAGAACATGAGGTATTACATATTCACATGATCAAATTAACATTATTAGCTGCCAGAGAAAAAGAAGGGGAAAAAAGAAAAAAGGAAGAAAATTACATAAAGTTCAATGCTTTCAGAGCATTACATGTTTTCAGTGCTTTTTTGTTTTTTTGTTTGTTCTATCCACACTTGAGATCTTTGCACTTTACTTGTCTCATGACGTATTTCCTGTATTTGGTCCAAGTGTTCAAGTGAGCATGAAGACCACAATTGTGTGTAGAACTTATCATTATCTTAGTGTTGTAAAAATGCAAGTGTTCACAGAGCTTTATTTTGATTTTCAATATTTTGCATTTTAAAATACATTTCTAAATGTCTGTTCAGAGATGACACAATTAAGTAAAAGTGGTGCTTCTAATTAATTGATAAAAAGCAGTTGCAAATGTTGTACAAAATAAACATACTCATCTTTGCATCAATAAAATGTGTAACACTTTGTTTTACTACCAAATTATATGTAATATCTAATTATTCATAATATTTAAATTACACAGGAAAGGTTTCCACAAACTCTCACAAGATCTCGGCAAAAAGCCTCAGTTTATTTCCAGAACACTGTTCATGCAAGCTTAGCCTTGAATACCACTCTCAAGTGGCCAAGACAGCAGTGTGGGTATTTGGACAAGCCCTGAGTTATTTATGATTCTGTTTTCCCACCAAAATTATGTCACCTCCGTCCTCCTCCGAAGTGATATTACAAAAGTTCAACAAGATTCAAATTCATACTAAGGCCACAGAAGGGAAAAAAAGACTACCAATTTAAACAATATTTTAAAGACAACATGTTTTGTTTGAAACATTTTGATTTGAGGAATTATGGGGGAAAAGGCTTGAATATTTCTTTTTTTTTCTTTCATAATATTAAAATTGTGTAAGCCCTCTTTTCATCTATCTATTTGAGTTTGTGTAAATATTTCAGAGCTTCAAATATTTTGGGGGGAAATGAAATAAACGGTTTGAAACCTTATGTTCCTTCTTACGTTGTTAAATGTTCCCTGTTTTGTGTTAGCAAGAGAGGTTGATTTTATTTTCTCCATTATATTAATACACACTAATCATTCGATGCTCTCTCATGAACATCACAGATAAACCACCGAGGGTGCGCCTCACGAGCGACAGCCCAGCAATGAATGGCTCATGCATCTCGTTCACTGCAGCTCTGGAGTTTCCACCATGCCAGAAGGAGGACAGCAGCGGCAACTTGGTGTATGATGAGCACTGTGACGACGGTATGATGGAGGCCTCAGGTGCTTCATACTCCTGTAATCTCTAAACAATGTACAAATGCAAGGAAAAAAATGACCTGTATTTTAAAAAGTTGCATTTATATTCCCAAATAAGGACAAAATGCTTTTTTTCATCTGTGTGCCTAACACCTTCACTTATTTTTCAGCCAATGGACAGGTGCCTTCAGGATACGTGTTTAACTGGACATCCTGGTTGGATGACTATGGCTTTGGAAAGTGTACAGATCTGAAGAGGTGCAATGTTTTCCCTGATGGAAAGCCTTTTCCTCAGAGCAATGACTGGAGACGTAGAGGTTATGTGTATGTGTGGCACACCATGGGTGAGTGTCAGTCATTCACTGATCTGAATCATATCAGTGTTTTAATAATTCACTTTACATATATAGTGTAAGCACTCTAATGGACCATCATCCTGTGGTTTCCCTCACAGGCCAGTATTTTGAGACATGTGATGGCTCCTCCTCCCATCTGACCCTGAACACCACTAACATGACGTTTGGAGCTGGTGTGATGGAGGTGATGATGTACCGTAAACGTGAGCGCAGGAAGTACAGCCCACTCTCTGTGGACAGTACCGTATTCTTCATAACAGGTCTGCTAGTTACTTTTGTCTTGTTTTAATCATATTTATTGTGCAGGATCAAAACTATACTATGATATTTTATATGCACAAAATTTTTATTATTTATGTATATATTTTATATATGAAATTTTACATATCAATATCAGTGAATCAATATATAATTTTATTATATAATTCAGTTTTCAGCAGCTATTACTCCAGTCTGCAGTGTCACATGACCCTTCAGAAATCATTCTAATATGCTGAAATGAAAAACATGTCTTCTTATTAATGCGGAAAACAGTTTTTTTGGAATGATACACTATCATTTTAAGAGATTAAAAAAAGAAAGAAATACTTTTATTCAGGAAGGATTGCATTAAATTTATTAAAAGTGACAGTAAAGACATTTATAATGCTACAATTAAATTGTATTTCAAATAAATTATGTTTATTGAACTTTCTATTCATCAAAGAATCTTGAAAAGAAAGTATCACAGTTTCCACAAAGAATATAAAGCAGCAAAAACTGCTGCTATAAAAGCAACATATAATGAGAACCATTTTTAAAAATGTAAACATAAACTGAAGATTCTGTTTTGCCATGACACAAATATATTAAATTTTTTAATATATTCTAGTAGAGAATTTATTTTAAATTGTAATAAGTTCACAACATTACGGTCATTACTGTATTTTTGATTAAATAAATTGGTAAGCATTAGAGACTTTTTTTTCACAAAAACAAAAAAAAATCATCCATATTATTCCACACTTTTGACTGGTGATAATGTGTGTATATATTAGTGGTGTCAAATGATTAATCGCATCCAAAATAAAAGGTTTTGTTTACATAATATATGTATTTGTGCTGAGTATATTTATTATGCATGCATATATTTCAGAAAAATATGTTATCTTTATATATTAAATATATTTATAATATAAATTATATTAATATAAATATAGACGTAAATACATGTAAATATTTTCAAAATATATACTGTGTGTGTGTGTATTTATATATATATATTTATATTTATATATACATAATAAATATACACAGAACACACAGATATATTATGCAAACAAAAACTTTTATTTTGGATATATATATATATATATATAATGTATGTATACATAAAAACCCCTTCCATATTTATTGATCAATTTTTTTCATGTTTTTTATTCATCCAGATAAGATTCCACTCTCCGTGAACATTTCCCAGAAGCATCCAGCCAGCATAACTGACAAAAACGTCTTTGTCAGAGGGTCAGATGTGATTTTCAACGTCCAGATTCACGACCCAAGCAACTATCTGAAGACAGCTGATGCGGTAGACTTCATTTGGGACTTTCGGGATGGCAACCAGTTGGTCACCCACAGCAATGTGGCAACCCATGCGTACAACACTCTTGGAAATATTACAGTCAAGCTCCTCGTGGAGGCATCGTTCCGTGTGCCCTGCCCGCCATCGACTCCAACACCAATGCACTTTACACAAGCTCATACCACGGGTAATCTCATAAACACAGGCACTTTACTCTCCCAGACAACAGATATCCTATTATCCAAGCCAGACATATCATATACATTATTATCCATCAGGACAAAATGTGTCCATTTATCTCGTGGAGTAAAGCAAACTTATTAAAACTGCTGTCATGTTAAAGGCCAGCCAACAGTCTTTCTGTAAAGTAATTCAATCACTTTCATGTGTGCAGCGATGCCTACATTACCGCCTGGCACTCACGCATTCACTAGCAAAATGGAGACTACCAAGGGTGAGACGAGTAGTGTTTACAGCAAGAAAAATCATAATTATATCTAATAGAACACTTAAAGGTGGCTTGAACTGATGGTAAAACTAACGACATTATTAACTCTCTTGATATTTACTTTGAAAGCTGAAGCTGCGATTATGGTAAGGGGCGTTACATTTCCGACGCGTGCTTGTGGTGTTCGGCAAATCGCAATGCACTGGGTCAGCTGGCCAATCAGAGCAGACTGCGCTTGTCAAAGGAGCGGGCTTTGTTGAAAACGACGCGTTTGAGAGAGGCGGGCATAGAGGACATACAATAATGTACAGTATTTGAAAAATAATGTGTTTTTTGAACATTAAAGCATGTCATCATATTCTGTTACACTAAATACACAAAATAATGATCTTTAAAATAGCATCAATATGACCCCTTTAACTCAAAATTCACAAATCACAAGTGTGAAAGATAAACTCACGATTGCAAGAAAAAAGTTGGAATTGTGAGATACAAAGTGACCTTTTTTGTTTTATTCTCTGGTGGAAACAACAAAAAAAAGAAAACTTGTGAGATAAAATCACACTTCTGAGAATTATGAAAACTCAGAATTATGAGATGTAAACTTTGAATAACAAGAAAAAAAAGCCAGAATTCTGCATTTATGAAAACAAACACAAAACAGTCATAATTGTGGAAAAAAGTTTTTTGAATTGTGAGATGAAGTTTATATTCCATATAAAATAAAAACCTTAAATACTGAAAATGAACTGAAATAAAACTAAATACAAAAAACGAGTTTTGTTTTAAGTACTAAAATAAATAAAACAAACTATATAAGCATCTTTTAATAAAACAAAGAACTAATAAAATAATAAAAATGCCAAAACAATTACTAAAATTAAAATATAAAAATAAATATAATTTTAATATAATTTTAAAAATAAACAAAAACTGTAACAGTTAATAAATTATACTAAAAAAACACTTTGTACTTTGTATTGTACTCCAGTATACAAAAGCTTTTAATTATTACATTTTTCAAAAAGTACCGTAATTAAATTATAATATCTATTTTTATGTCTGTTTCTACAGAACCTCCTCTAGCTCTGCAGAACCTTCCAGCCAATCAGATTTTAAAGGTGTCAGCTGACAAAGTGACCAACACATCTGTAAACTTCATGGTGACTTGCTCAGGCAGGTAAGATTCACACAAACACAAATATATGCAGTACAAATGATGTGCAGTGAGCATTTGAAGCCCTGCAGCTGAGACCTTTCACAGCATGTCACCGTCATATAAAAACATTCAGTCACATTTACAACAGATGGCCGCTGGATCACACACATACAATAAATTTAACTGAGCATCATCTCTCCTTTGCTCAGTGTTCCCTCAGTGGCCTGCACCATAGTGGCCAACTCCGCCTGTCGGGAGGTCAAGAATATCGTGTGTGAGGACGTGGCTCCTTACGGCGAAGGATGCAAGATCAGCTTGACACGCATTTTCCAAACGCCGGGCAATTACTGTGTTAACATCACGTTGGGTCTGCCTGGAGGCTTGGCTCTTGCCACCACCACCTCAGTTACAATTGGCAACAGCCCTAACATAAGTCAGTTTTGAGAATTGTAGTCAATATATATTGTTCTAAAGCGCCATTACACAGCAGTGTTATTTTAGTATTATATAGATACTATTTAGTATTTATTTAGATACTATTATAGTATTTTTTGTTTTAAATTAGATTTAATTTTTTATAATTTGCTTTCATTTTAATTGTAGTAATTTTTAGTATGTTTAAGTCATTTTATGTGCTTTTGTAATCTTTCTTTTTCTTTTTTTACATTTCTGTTATCAGTTTTAGTATTTTGAATAGTTTTTGAACTCTTAAGTTTGTTTTTCATCAGTTATTTTATTTTAGCTTTATTGTAGTATTTTTAATTTTATTATAGTATTTATTAATATTTTAAATTGCATTTAATTTATAATTTTCTTTAGTTAAAATTTTAGTTTGTTTTAGTAAGTTTTATGTGATTGTCATTTTTTTAGTTTGTTAAACATTTCTATTTAGATTTTTTAATTTGAGTTTTAGTCATTTTTAAAATGTTTTGAGTTTTAAGTGTTTTTCATCTAATTGTTAAGCTTTTTTCCGTCTGTTTTATAATATTTTGAATTGGCTTATATTTTTATAATTTGCTTTAATTTTAACTTGTAATTTTTTGTAACTTGTCATTTTATTAGATTTTTTTTTTTAAACATCTATTTAGGCTTGTTTTCATTTCAGTTTGTCATTTTAGCATTTCACTTTAAAAGTTTCAGTTAATTGCCAAGGCAACATTTATCATTTGAATTTGTCATCTAATATTTTATTTCAATTAAAACAAAAATGAATATTAGTCAACAACACTTTGCAAAGAATAGTGCCTAATTTTTGATCCCCACAAATATGACAAAGATTTATGAATTTATAAATGTACAGACTAACATTTAATATTCATATAATTATAAAAAATTATAACTAGCTGATAATTATTTAAATTTTTCTCTTTTTCTTAGGCTCTCCTAAATCCTCCCATGTAGCTGAGGTGGTTCTGTCTTCCAGCGCTGTGCTTATTTCCATCTTTGCATTCATTGCCATCATGGTTTACAAGTGAGTACCACTAACCAAACTGATAGCTTGAAAACATAACAGTATGCACCCTAATCTTTTTTTTTTTTTTTTTTCCTTTTAGGCGATATAAGGTGTATCGTCCGGTGAGACGCTCTATGTTGGATGACACTGAGAGAAATGCTGGTAGCTGGAGTTTAAGCAAACTAAGAGCAGCTCTGTTCCCTGCTGACGAGGAGAGAAGCCGTTTATTGACAGAGAGGCCACTATAGACTGATCGGAGTGGTTGCAGCAAAGTTGCTATTTATTTGATACACGAGTTTGGCTGTAGGTTATCTATGAGAATAACAAGAGATCTCATAGGTGCTTGCTTTCAGCAAGATTAGATTACACTGGCATCAGTTTGACTAGAATAAGTAATCATAGCATTTCAGTTATATCACATGCAAGCTTTAAAGATTTTTAATGAAAGATTTGAAATGAATGAGATCAGACATGCCAGATCTACAGGGGTTTCCATCACCTAAAATGACTAAAACTACTACTAACCAACCAATCACAGTCCAATGCATGAGAAATCACAGTTTGGTTTTCCCAAACCAAAATCACTCAAATATTTTTGATTTAATGGTGAAAATAACTACTTTTACCCATTTTTCGAGTGACACTTTGTCTCAATTGATTTGACAAGATACTTAATTTGCAGACAGGATGAGAAAGTTGACAGAGAAGTTGGATGTTTTATAATGTTCAGAGAAGTTATACTTTATTTTGACCATAGTTAAGGGAGATATTTGAATGTCTGGAGACTAAAATTGGTACAATATTTTTGAGAAAGACCTGTTTGATGGTAATTAAGCTGTAGTTTCATAAGAAATCACTTTACTAACCATTTCTTTTTATAAAGCATGAATTAAACTCGAGTGACACTTTGTCTCAATTGATTTGACAAGATACTTAATTTGCAGACAGGATGAGAAAGTTGACAGAGAAGTTGGATGTTTTATAATGTTCTGAGAAGTTATACTTTATTTTGACCATAGTTAAGGGAGATATTTGAATGTCTGGAGACTAAAATTGGTACAATATTTTTGAGAAAGACCTGTTTGATGGTAATTAAGCTGTAGTTTCATAAGAAATCACTTTACTAACCATTTCTTTTTATAAAGCATGAATTAAACAGGAAATGTGTGATCACATAAGTATGCTTATGCATTAAAAAAAAATTAACATTTGACAGCACTTTTGGAAATTCTGATTTCAAATCTTGTTCACTTCTGTAAGTGCTGTATATACACAAATATTCTAATAAAATTTCTAAACCACTGTTTGCTATAATGATACACAACATCTGCCAATTTAAAATATTTCTCAATCTTCACACACTATTTTTATTTTGCAGAGATGCCATAAACCGCTTTTTTTTTTTGTGTGAAGAACATTTAAAAAATCTAATGAATCTTTGTTGTCCACCAAAGAATATTTTGAACAATGGAAAGTTTCAATGGATGTTAAAGATTCTTCAAACTACAGACAGCAGTGAGGATGCAGTATTTTTTAAGATAGGTGTTATTGTATTTGAACTGAAATGAAACTAATATTTGGGGATGGGAGAGAGGGAACAACCTTCCAATTCACAAATCAATGCTCCCAAATACACACACCAAACACAACAACTGTAAAAACATCCAACAAATATGGACACAAAGAACAGCCAAGGAATCACAAACAATGGTTGCTAGGAGCCAACTTGACTTTTAATTTTTTTCTTTGTATCAGAGGCATTTGACAAGTGGAGGTGTGTGAGGGCACACAAGCACGGTCGGAGGGGATGTTGCTTATGCTGAAATCGGACCACTTTTTCACCGGAACTATTCCAGCTCCCAGATTTCCACATCACATTCCCACTGAAACATGACTCACCACACAACACAGCCATGAAATGAAATTGGATCAGATTCCAGTCCCCCCCCCAAAAAAAGTAGCATTCATAAGACATGAAAAAAGTAAAAAAAGACTTCATTGTTCATATTTCATAAGCAAGAAATGAAAGAGGCCCTTGAAAAATTTTCTATAGCCATCATTAATCAGATCCCAAATTAACACTTTGACTTTTAATACAATACTTATGCAAGAAATAAAGCCACACCACCAAACCAAGAAGCAGAAGAAAAAAGCAATAAGGTGAGGTTTCAAATCAGTTAGCAGAGAATAAATTGCAGGCAAAAACGAAATCACTTTCTCACTCATCTTTAAAGTCTAGCCATACATTATTAAATTTTTTTTTTTAATTATATATTTATTTTTTTGGTGAGGAAAGGGGCAGATGGAACATGACCCTATAGATTCTAACACACAGCATTATGCCTCTAATGTAAATACTTTTCTAATAAGAGGTAGATCAAAAACGGTGTAAGAGAAGGGTGGAAAGAAAAACAAAACGATCACTTGTGCCCCTCTGGTCAGCGCTCGGCGGACCGCGCGTACCCAGCGCAGAAGTGTTCGCGAGAGACTTGAGGTATCGCTGCGCGCGCTGGAGGTCTCAGGTGAGACGGAGCCCACCCTTTCCTCAGCTGAGGTAGACAATGGCCTTACTAGTGTGGAAGCGTGGATGCACTCTTTTACCATAATCAAATCATATTTACATTCTGCATGAAAACAAAAGGAATATTGGTTTCTCAGTTTCTTTACTAAACGCTTTTTCTTTGCTAAAGTTCATTTTATATATATTTTTTTGCTTTTTTTCCACTTTGAATGATAAACGAAAGATAAATGAAACCGTTCGCGCGTCCATCTACGTTACTGCTCGTTAGCCTAGAGACGCGCCCTTGACTATTGTAACTTAACCTATAGCTATCAACGCAAAAGCATCAGAACAGTGTAACTCCCCGAACCCCTGACATGCATTGACTGACGTTAAACTCTGAAAATCTTCGGCATGTAAAGCCCAGTTTGATGCGAAGAGGGGGAAAAAAGCCCGTCCCAAGACCAAACGGAGCGCGTTATTTGGAAAAGGAAAGGGACGAAAAAAACGATGAGCACGGGAAAAGAAAAAACAACCTCAATCGGGCTGGTCGTTATTTTAATTTGATAAGACAACTAATCACGCCGAGGATGAGGGGGTGTCAAAGAGGTTACAGCAGGACCTTGCTTATCCCTGACCTCTGTTGCTTGCATCCAACCCTGACTGAAGTGTAATGAAATGCGGGTGAAACGTCTGCTACCGCCGAGACAGTTATTAGCATATTAGCACCGCATTGCTGCGGTATGTACGGGTGGCGTTATTTCTCATTACCTTGACGGTGTTCAGAGGGTGGTGGCTCCTCAGCGATACTGAGGCGCTTTTCTTTTCTTTCTCCTATCTGTAGCTTACACAGAAGCCCAAACTCCGCTCTTTCACTCGTGCGACGCGCGCAAACCTGTATATATACAGTTAGTTATTCATGGCGCGCGTCAAAATGAGCAAGGCGGAATTCGAGCATCATCCGTTAACTACAGACTAAATTTTACATTTTCTTAAAAAAATAAAAATGTTCAAGAACTATTAGCGTTATAAAGTATACAAAATACCACAAAGCAAAATAAAAAAAAAGAACAACTTTTTTTCAAATATCATTTTCTTTTTTTCTGAGGTACTCTAGCCTGAGGTAGATCAGTAAAATGCATATTAACTTGGTTTCCTGGCCAACACCAATCAACACTTCCCTCAGTCATAAGTGGCAGTGTTTCTCCACCTTCTTTCATAATTTTATATATGTGTATATATATCTATTCATCTATAAAATGCATCAGAATTTATAAAATGCCACTGGATCCCAGGACAGCGTACTTCCGTCAACAATCCTCTTTCCATCTCAAGCCAAAGACCTTAAACCCCACCTTGTGTCACCCATTCCTTACCCCAAAAACAGGCTTGAAAAGCCTTTTACACTCAAATGCTGCATTTCCCAATAAACTCATAACCAAAACAAAGTTCAACATCTGTCAATTAAGGTCTGTGCAGTTACCGTATTAAGGCAAGGACTGGGTGGCTAACTTTCTTACGATTTGTTTTAAGGGGGTAGGGGGAATTGTGGTGCAGGGAAGTGCAGGTGTACACAATTTCACTGAAACTTCAGGAGGAATGGGTGTAAAAGCGGGCGGGGTTGTAAGGACATTCCCTGACCCCTGAGATGGACGCGTCCCGTGTCCTTTCAGTCTCCGAGAAGACGCAGTGGCTCTATTTCCTCCGGGCAACAGGTGGACCTGTGGCCGAGGCCTTGGGCTGCTGCTGCCGCCTCACCTGAGAGATAATCTCCTGGATCTTCCTCTGGGCCAGCTGGTACACATGAAAGAAAAAGCAGAACAAAATTACTCAAATCAAACAGCACAATAACATACAACCATTAAAATACTTAAGCAATAAATGGAAACAAAGTCAAAAATTTTAAAGTGATTATATATTGGACAAAGCTGTGTGTGGGGAGGGTGAATTTTTAAATCATCATTTAAATGATTAAATACGTAAGCGCCGACATATAGCGCCGTTGTGCTTCGGGCGTCCCAAGTTAGAGTACTGGCTCGCGGATGTTTCCCGATCCCGTCCCCCCTCTCTCCCACTTCGCTTCCTAACTAATAACTGTCCTATCATAATAACGCTAAAAATTAATAAATGTATTATTATTAATAAATAATTACATTACAATTGGCAGGGGCACCTTAGGGTTTAGACCCCCCCGGAAATCATCCCCACTGCAATTTGGGTGGTTAGTCAAGCCCAGGCATGAGGGGGACACCCCCACCCCCCAAGAATGCCATTTATACCGAGGGAGCCCCCAAAACTCTAAACACGCCCCTTGTACTATGGGAATGCTAGAGGGTGCCGGATACCCTCAAGTGAATGCAAAAGCACCCTCAATTGGAGAGCTGGCAAACTACTCCGTGCGTATGTGTCTGCGCTCTGGACAGCATCAAAAGATACTATTTGCAACATGTTTTTGCATTGTTGAACAAAGTAGCCAAACACAGACATATCTGTTGATTTCTTGAACGCAATGGCCAATCAGAAACGTAAATATGGTAACACTTCAGTATAGGGACCAATTCTCACTATTAACTAGCTGCTTATTAGCATGCCTATTGTTAACATATTGGCTGTTTATTAGTGCTTAAGCACATTCGGCATGATCATATTCTACATCCCTAATCCTTTCCCATACCTAAATGTAAAAACTACCTTATTAACTAATAATAAGCAGCAAATTAGGAGTTTGAGGCAAAAGTCGAAGTTAATGGTTTGTTAATGCAGAGAATTTGACCTTAAAGTAAAGTGTGGCCATAAATACATTTAATAACAGTATTTCACAAATACATATTTCAATAATCATATAATACATTATCACTAATAAAATGAATAAAAAGTTGGATTCATTTTGAACTCCACATCAAAAGTTTGGCATTACAACACAACACTTACAAATTACTTATTTGTTGTTTTTGCCATCAAGCTGGGATCAGAGAAAGTATTTTAACATCAG